TTTGAAATTTCATAAATATAAAATTATATATTCGTTTCTTTTTTTTTTTTTTTTTTTTTGATTTTATGTTTAGATGGTGTGGGTATTTTTACAAGATTCTATAGAAAGATCGAAGTGTGTCAGGAATCTGTTTGCTTCCTGTTGTTGTTTTCCTTTATAGCCAAATGAACCATATTCTTGAATGCTGAAATTCGGCTTGCGGGCAAGACCGAGTTGACATTTGAATCAAAAAAATTTAAACAGTTTAATATCTTTTTTTTTTTTTTTACACACATCGGCATTGAATGATCAGATTTCTATGCCTAAAGTAAAGAAACTTGATGTCTCAAACACTGTAAACAGAAAAACGAAAACTACATGTCTTTACGTGAAGACACAAGAATTTTGTGTCAATAAATATGTATAGGTTGTTTTTTTTCCTTTAATTAAAAGATAAAATGAGAAATTTAAGAAGTTGTTGCTTATGCTTTCATCATTACCTTCTTTAAAAAAAATTTTTTTTTTAAAAAAGGGGTTATTGTACTTAAAGACTTTTCAATTTATGTTCTGTTATTCATTTCATCTTATGTATGCTTTTTGCTCATATCGTATTGAGCTTGGTAAAAATTTAGAGCTTGACACGCGGACACCAAAAAGGAATTTCTTAAAACATTTTGGTTCTGTGGGGTTGTTTTTTTTTTCTAGTTTTTCTTATTTCAATTTTTTGTTTCCATTTCAATGCGCAAGCTTTACTACGTCATGGAATCAAACAGCGAATAACAATGGCTTCCTCGTTGGCATGTTAGGATGAGACACGATGTCCTTAAGTTAATGAACAATTTAATTGAGAGTATCTTGCCGTAAGGTCCTACCGAACCAGCAGTGTGCTCATGAATGGGGAAAAGTGTTATTTTTAATGTATATATATATATATATATATATATATATATATATGTATATATATATTCATTATTTTTTTTAAAAATGCAAACATGTCTAAAGATTCACTCTCCTTTATTTCTTACACTTCCCGAAAGCCTCGAAGAAATGCAAAAATATTCATTGTACATTGGCACCAAATATCATTTCCCATTGCCCCGTCTCCCCCAACCCCCAAAAGAAGAAAAAAATAAATGAGTGTACCCCCCACCC